CAGCCGTCATTGTTGTTTGGCGGGTCCGGGCTGGGGATTCGAACCCGCCACCTTAGGTGTACGTGGCTGGCGCCTTAGCCGGTTGAGCTATAGGCGCCAAGCCTTTTTTTCCTTTTTTTTGAGAAAGATTCTTGTTCTATCTCCCCAGCTAGTATAAAGGTGCGTCATTGCAGCTTATTGCTGCAACCTCAAACTCCAGAGCTCAAGTGATCCTCCTTTCTTAGCCTTCCAAGTAGCTAGGACTACAAAGATGTGCTACCAAGCCTAGCTAATTATTTTTATTTTTCTAGTAGAGGTGAGGATTCACGCTTGCTCAGATTGGTCTCAAACTTTTGGCCTCAGCCTCACAGAGTGCTATGATTACAGGTATAAGCCACCACACGGCTCATTGGCTAATTCTACATACAAATAAAGGCCAAACTTATTGATTGGACTGGCATTTAGGATTTCTGATTTGGGGTTTTTGAGGTTTTTTTTGAGACAGAGTCTCACTTTGTCGCCCTCGGTAGAGTGTCATGGTGTCATAGCTCACAGCAACTTCTAGCTCTTGGGCCAGGACAATTCTCTTGCTTCAGCCTCCTGAGTTGTTAGGACAACAGGCTCCCGCCACAATACCCAGCTATTTCTGTTGCAGTTGCCACTGCTGGTTTAGTTGTCGCCCCCAGTATATGAGGCTGGCACCCTACCCACTGAGCTACAGGCATTGCCCCAAGGATCTCTGATTTGGTCTCAGTTTATTTTTCTAGTTTTTTTTTTTTAAAGACAGAGTCTTATTATGTCACCCTTGGTAGAGTGCTGTGACATCACAGCTCACAGCAACCTCAAATTCTTGTGCTTAAGCCAGTGGTTCTCAACCTGTGGGTCATGACCCCTTTAGTTGCCTAAATACATCCTGCGTATCAGATATTTACATTATGATTCATAACAGTAGCAAAATTACAGAAATGAAGTAGCAATGAAAATAATTTTATGGTTGAGGGTCACCACAACATGAGGAACTGTATTAAAGTGTTGTGGCAGTAGGAAGGTTGAGAACACTGGCTTAAGCAATTCTCCTGCCTCAGCCTTCCAAGTAGCTCTAGGACTACAGGCACCAGCCACAATGCCTGGCTATTTGTTATTGTTGTTGTTGTTGTTGCAGTTGTTTAGCTGGCCTGGACTGGGTTTGAACCCTGGTACCATAACCACTGTGCTACAGGCTCCAAGCCTATTTTTCTAGTCTTTTTTTTTTTTGAGACAGAGCCTCAAGCTATCCTCCTGGGTAGAGTGCTATGACATCACAGCTCACAGCAACCTCCAACTCCTGGGCTCAAGCGAGTCTCCTGCCTCAG